CATATTACTTGGTTTGGGCTCATTATACTGTTGATCAGTGATTTGATTTGAGAGTGAATAATGACTTAAATATGTTATTCATCCAAAAATATATAAAGTGATAGTATTCCTTCAGAAGACTATGATGAATATGATCATGGACCATTTTTATAACACTTTTGAGTGCTTTTTTAAGTTTTAAGATGAGTCACTATGAGGGTGAGTTAATAATGACAATTTTCATTTTTGGGTTAACTATTCCTTTAATGATGTATCAACATTTGAGGAAAATTCAGTTGTCTTAACAGCTTTAAACTGTTTGTGTATTGTAAAGACATGTGGACCTTGTTTCAAAGTAATCACATCTTTGTACTCTTTCCCCAGTTGCACAGAAACTCTGGAATTTTCTATTCCTATAACAAAATGCTGTTTTGTGTGATCTCACTACAGGACATTCAAAAAATTGAATTAGAAATTGATCGTTTTCCAGATTCAGCTGATGGCCTGAAGCTTGAGCTTAAAGCAGGCTCCAGCTGAAAGACCCTTCTGACCTTCAATATGAAGATGAAGACTTCCATGATTTCTGTAACCTTACATGTATAGCTGATCTGCCCAAAGACAAGGTGACACCCAAGGTCTTTTTCACCCCTTCTACAAAAAAATTTTCTGACTCCAGTTTGGACGCTGCAATTTTAAGTGAACTGTCATCTCTGTCAAGTTCTTCACCCAGCATGCACTCAGAGACATCTGCCATCTGTTCACAGCCATGGCCAACTGTCTTTCCCATCCCCGTTTTAACATATGATGTGGAACGGAGACTAACACAAGGTAATTTTTCATTTCATTTTCATTTCAAAAGGATGTAACACTTTTGTCAATTCCCAGAGGCATGAAGATTGAAATTCTTGAGAAAATTGCAGAAACTATATACTCATACAAAGTATGGGTCAAGGATTAATTCATTTTGAATTGAAACCTCAATTTCTAAAAGTGCAGTTCATATATTGCATTAGGTGCCATTCAAGGTGCCATTCACCCGATAAGTGTGCAACCCCTTAAATAACAAAACATGAAAGTAGACTGGCAATGTAAAGTCTAGCTTGACTCCACAAACATGATACGTAGCCTAGTTGACATATGAGAGGACGAGTTGCTGCCATCACGTGAGTGAAGCAAGCACTAGTTAGCAGCAAAGATGGCAGAGGCTAGCAGTAGTGAGCCTGGTCTGACGAGCGAATCTAACGAAACAAGTAAAGCCGAGCATACAGACAAACGAAACTGTACATCAAACATCTGGAAATATTTTGGCTTCAGGCAGACTCCCACCTTGCAACAGCAGGTGATTTGCAAACGTGCCGAAAAACAGTGCAAACCTCTCATGGTAACACCAAAAACTTAGTTTTTTTTTTTATTTATTGTTTTGGAGTTTAATCAGTGGGAATAAGTTTTTGCTACCTATCACAGGTCTTATGGGTGCTTGTTTCATCCAAAAAAAAAAATCTTATAAAAGATGCTGCAATGTCAAACATCTTATTGTCCTTTATTTATTTGTCTGTATTTGATATGCAGTTTTTATTCTGAAGTGCAATTAGGGCAAATTGCAAAAATAGAAGAAAAAAAAAAGTTAAATTGCATGTTAAATCGAAATTGCAATGCTGGCATAAAAATCACAATTAGATTTTTTTTTCCCTGAATCGTGCAACATTAATACAAAGCCTATCCTGGGAATGAAGAGACTGAAAGTGTAGCGGTTGCCTTAATTGAAAAACACCCCTGTCTCAAAAAGCCAGACTCCACATCTAGATGGTACGGGTGGAAAATTACTTTGAAGTTTAAGCTGAGAGATGCAGGTTCTGTCATGCTGAGTGAAATGACAATGACAAATGAAATGACTGACAATGACACTCTGGTCCCTTTGTTACATTTGTTCATGTATTTAAAGATGTGTGTAATGTCATATGTTTTGTAGATCAGCAAGGAATTCACCAAGCTTGTGTCAAAGGACCTGAACAAGTTGTTTTTGAAGGCCAAGATGGTCATCGCCTGAAGCTGATACAGTTGTTCAAATCAAAGCGTCATGTGGAAATTCCAGAAATGACTTCAGTACTTCAGAGCCTTGATAAAGATGTTTTATCCTTTTTAATCAATTTATTTTAAAGCAGTTTTTCACACCATTCATATAAACTAGTGATAGTGACATTCATCTTTTCATACAATGGCAACTGACAGTGACTCACTTCACAGTGTCAGTGTTTAAAAGGAACCCACACGACTTGTGTCATATTCCAAGTCTTGTGAATTCATACAATCTCTTTGTATGATGAAAACATCAAAATTTCACTTTTTGTTTACAAACCTCACTGGTTCTTGCAAGTTGCATTATGTCGTAGTAGTCGTAGTGACATTTGTGACATTTTCAAACTGATTTGAAAATTGGTATTTGTAAATAGAGTTGATCAATGATTGTGATGTGACTCATCCATTACTTTTACTGCTTTTTTTAATATAGTGTTCATTTGTCCTTTATAGAGCTTAACAGCCCAAAGTCACTGTTCATTTTCATTGTATGGAATAAAGATGTGAATATTTTTACATGCGTTTGGAACAGCATGTTGGTGAGTTAATGACCTATCCCTCCCTTTAAAGGCTTTAAATGTTGTTATGACCCCAATGAATTTCCAGGCAGAAACTTGCAGGTAGAATCAATATAATGTGCCTTTGGCATCCCCATCATAGGGAGTAAAATATACAAATACAAACATTGTGAAACCACAGATTTTTCATGTTTTGCTCTGCTCCAAATAGACAATTGCAATGCTCCAAATAGACTATACACACTCACACACACACACACACAGTTAGGTCCAGAAGTATTTGGACAATGACAGTTTTTGTGATTTTGCCTTTATACACCACCACAATGGATTTGAAATAAAACAATCAAGATGTGATCAAAGTGTAGACTTTCAGCTTTATTTTAAGAGGTTCCACAAAAATATGGCATTTACCATTTAGGAATTACAGCCATTTTAGCAAAGTACCTCCATTGTCAGGGGCTCAAAGGTATTTGGACAAAGTGACATAATTGTAAATATAACCATAATTTTAATACTTGAATGAAAATCCTTTGCAGTAAATGACTGTCTGAAGTCTGAAGCCCATGTTCTCAAAACTCAAATTCTGAGTTTCCTCCCTGGAGATGCTTTGCCAGGCCTCCACTGCAGCCACCTTCAGTTGCTGCTTGTTTGTGGGTCTTTCTGCCTTCGGTCTTGTCTTCAGTAAGTGAAAAGCAGCTCTATTGGGTTGAGATCAGGCGACTGACTTGGCCATTGAAGAATATTCCATTTCTTTGCCTTCAAAAAGTCTTGGGTATCCACCTGCACTGTGAAGCGGCATCCTATCAGTTTTGTAGCATTTGGCTGAATGTGAGCAGAGAGTATAGCCCTATACACCTCAGAATTCATCTTGCTACTTCTGTGAGCGGTCACATCATCAATAAACACCAGTGAGCCCGTTCCATTGGCAGCCATACATACCCATGCCATAACACTGCCTCCACCATGTTTGACACATGATGTATACTTTGGATCATGAGCTGTTCCTTTCTTTCACCATACATTTCTCTTCCCATCATTCTGGTACAAGTTAATCTTGGTTTCATCAGTCCAAAGAATCTTACTCCAGAACATGGGAGGCTTTTTAAAATGTTTTCTGGCTAAAGTCTAATCTGGCTTTCCTGTTCTTGAATGTTACCAGTGGTTTGCACCTTGTTGTAAACCCTGTGTATTTACATTCATGAAGGCGTCTCTTGATTGTAGATTTTGACAATGATACGCCTACCTTCTCCAGAGTATTCTTGACTTCTGTTGATGCTGTGAAGGAATTTTTCTTCACCAAGGAAAGGATTCTGCGATCATCCACTTTAGTTGTCTTCCGTGGTCTTCCAGGCCTTTTGGTGTTGCTGAGCTCACCAGTGCTTTCTTTCTTTTTACGAATGTACCCAACTATTGATTTGGCTCTCAAAGTTTTTTCTATCTCTCTGATAGGTCTCTCTTGTTTTTTCATCCTAATGATGGCCTCTTTCACTTGCAAACAACTGCCAAATGCCAACTCAATACCTAATATCAACTCCAGACCTTTTATCTGCTTCATTTGTCTTGAAGTAACGAGGGAATGGACCTTGAATCCATCACCTGGTCAATTAACTTCTTGTCAGTCAATTGTCCAAATACCTTTGAGCCCCTGAAAATGGAAGTACTTTGCTTAAAATGGCTGTAATTCCTAAATGGTAAATGCTATATTTTTGTGGAATCTCTTAAAATAAAACTGAAAGTCTACACTTCGATCACATCTTGATTGTTTTATTGAGGTGGTGGTATATAAAGGCAAAATCACAAAAACTCTGTCATTGTCAAATACTTCCGGACCTAACTGTATATGTGACATGTCCAAGGTGCTGCCTGGTAAACTTTAATCTCTCTTTTAAGTGATTAAATAACAGAGCTTTATGAAACTCTATTATTATTTTTAAATATACATGAATACATCTGCTGCATGTTCAGTATATATGTTTCACTTAATACTTCTCATAATGTGTCCATACTTAGCTTAGGTCAAACGTAACACGTCCACCCTGTTGTGGTGAAATATTGAGTTAAACAAATTTTAGAATCTCAAAATATATCTTTGAAACAAAACCTTTAACAATTTATTATGTATTCACCTGTATTTCAACCACATGTTAATCAAAGCTAACTCAAAATTGTCCACCCTGTCATTGTCCTCCCATCATGCATCTTTCCATGACAGGGTAGAGACATGCACAATCGGGTGGACATATACATGCCTTTTCTTAAACAGTAAGCACAATAAAAACACAGACACACACCCAAAGCCACTCTCCACCACTTTGTGGACATTTACAGCATTTGGCAGATGCCCTTATCCAGGGCAACTTACATTTATCTCATTTATACAACTGAGTAGTTGAGAGTTAAGGGACTTGCTCAAGGGCCCAGCAGTGGCAGCACTGGGGATTGAACTCATAACCTTCCAAGTAGTAGCCCGACACTTTACCCACTGAGCTACCACTGGCCTACAAGGGCAGGGCATGATCATGCTGGAACAGGTTAGTTCCACTGAAGGGAAATTGTGATGATACAGCATAGAAATACATCTTATACAATTGTGCTGTGTGCTTCCAACTTTGTGGCAATAGTTTGTGGAAGGATCACACATGGGTGAGAATGTCAGGTGTATACAAACCTTTGCATATCACTTCGCATATTCTTTGCAGAATAACACTGAAACAAAGCCTCAGGTAAGACTATCCATTCAAAATGTAAAAATCACATAATGGCCATCAACACTAACACCACATGCATGCATTCATGCACACACAATAATTTGATGGGGAGGGGGTAGCAGTTAGCATTTATTTACTGATAAATGTTAACTATTCTGATGGGGATTTACTGCTGCCATTGCACAGAAACACCACAACTACAACTGCGATGCTATCCTATAAAATTCTTTTGGCCAAGTCTACAAGAAGATATCAGTTGGTATCAGCTGGGCAGATCTGTGCATTAGTGTTACTGTGGTTAGTTTGGAAGTGTATGGAAGAGGAGTTAGTGTAAATCATTAAAACCAGTTCTCTAAATATCTAAGCACAGTGGCTTAGTGGTTAGCATGTTTGCCTCGCACCTCCAGGGTTGGGAGCTTGATTCTTGCCCCCGCCCTGTGTGCGTGGAGTTTGCATGTTCTCCCCCAGTCCACTGACGAGCATTGCAGGCTGATTGGCATCTCTAAATTGTCCGTAATGAGTGAATGTGTGTGTGCGTGTGACTGTGCTCCGCAGTGGGTTGGCACCCTTTCCAGGTTGTCTCCCGAGTCCCCTGGGAGAAGCTCCAGGCTCCCCACGACTCTGTGTAGGATAAGCGGTACAGAAAATGGATGGATGCATTTTTTTATGAGCTGAGTAAACCTTTAGCTCCAAATTCTTTATATACTATATTACTAAAATGTTCTTATAAAATCACAACTGTTTCCTTTTGTTGCAACAATGTAATATCTTGCTTAACTCTGTCTCACCTCTGTCCACTATCCACCCTGTCATATCCTTTTTCACCCCATCATCTTCGTGTTTTATTAATATGAATCAATAATTCTGCACAGCTAAACAAACCATTAAAACTGATTTGTTATAAATAACAAGGGGTCAAGTAATATTATTCCATATTTTGTTAAAAGATTGCTGTTACTTTAGTTTTGGATAAAAGCCTGTCTTTTGCTGATACGGTGGGAAATGAAACTAATTCTACAACAAAATGCACAATTCTAAAAGATTTTAAGAGGCCCTAAGAATTACTGTTGAAAAGGGGGCACAATAACTCACTGAAAATGACTCTATAGTTTATGTAATGCTTCAGAAACATAATTTATCCCTTTTGTATTTGTCCATGACAGTGTGGACACAAGATGTTGGCTTGCCATTGCAAAATAAAAGTGCTAAGCTTGACACAGATGTTTTCTGGGTAATCCTACAAATATGGTGAATATTCAAAGCAATGTAAAATCTTAATTTTACATTTTTTAAAGTTATGAGGTCCCAAAGGCACAGTATACTGATAATGACGATAATAATGTACCAATGATACACTACAATCAATGTCTCAATAATTGTTTTATATGTTAGTATGTAGTGTAGGCTCTTCTGGATGTTGGGACTTCAGAAGAAAACATTTGGTCAGTGGAAAGAGAAAGAGCTTGGAAGAGACAGGTCATTTTTCTGAGAGGTTTTGTACTTGATACATTGTTATTTTTGTATTATCTATTTTAGTATCTATGAGTATTATTAATCATAACTATGAGTTATTAATAGTATCTATAAAGCATAATCAGTAATATTACTATGTTTGTAGTATATTCATACTCTGCTATATTCATATCCCCACTGCTTTACTACACCTTATTTTATATTTAAGATGAGAAAATACAATAGTTGGGGCCTAGTTCATTTAGTTTAAATAGACAAGGCTCTTTTAAGATCACTGACGAGGAGAGGAGAGGCTGAGGTGTGTGCAGGCATGTGTGCATGTGTGAGACCGACCCTCTGTGACATTCCAAAACTGAACTGACAGTCAGACTTTCTGTACTATTACTAGCTGCCTGTTCTTAAAGCAGGCTGAGATGTCACCTCAAACAAACACTCAAAACTCAGAAAATATTCACCAAATCGCTTAACTAATGACATATTTAGTGTAGGAGACTTAGAGACTTTGCTGATAGAACTGGTGGGAAAAATGTGTAGTTTGAGGGAGGATTAATTGATTTGTGGCTGTTTCAATACACATGATCATTCACTAAATGCCAAAGCTGATAGTGACAGATTTTGAATGGAAGTGAATGGCACTCTTCACTTGTCTTAGTGCCAAACAAATGCTCATAGCTTGAAAAATATATTTTGAAATGATTAGATATTTAGAGGTTTTTGAAAGGGAGAGGAACTCAACAATGTAAAACCTGAATGGTGTTTCAAGGTGAAAGTATAAGGATTTTAGGGTGAAATGTTTTGTTGAAACAGTCAGTTTAGATCGTTTACTCTCAAAGCAATGGCATCACCCACTCTAGCTTGTCCCCATTAAAATAAAATGGGAGAAGAAAGAAGGATGGATAGAAAGAGAAGGATGAGTGTAATCTGTCTATAATTTGGCTTGACGGGTCTAGGTGTACGCAGGTTTGAGCAAGTGAATTTTGATGGTTGTAGCTTGAGACATGAACAAATTAGGGCGGTTTAAAAAAACATTTTCAATGTATACCTATGTGAAAAAAAAAAATGCTGTTTGAGCATTGCTAGGTGCCAACTGTAATTCTGATCATTCCCAAAAGCACAATCACACTATTCCCTTATAGGATCTACAACCCTGCCTTATTTCATGGCTCTATACTAAAAAATGTGACCCACGAAAACAGAAGAAATTTGCAGAGACAATAAGTAGACGGGAAAAGTTTGTGAATGAACGTTGATGCTGAAACCTCCTGATAAACATGCTAAAGTATTAAAGGATATTACAGTGTTTTTTTGTATTGACTTCAAAATGTTAAAATGTGTAACAGGTAAGTCTGCCAAATGCCATAAATGTAAAGTATGTAAAGGTAAAAAGTAGGAAGTTACAATATGATCGCATTTGTTTGCAGGGTTCTATTTATTCAGTTACTAATGAAACTCATCTGGTTGCTAGGGCATTGCTAGATGGTTGTTATGGGGTCCCAGGTGGTTGCTATGGTGTTTTTAGGAGGTTTCAATATGATCAGAGTTGGTTGTAAGGTTGTAGCTAGTCGGTTGCTAAGGAAAATCAGCTAGTTGCTAGCTGGCTATTAGGGGGGTTCCAGGTTTTTGTTATGGTGTTATGCAATTGGTTGCATGTTTGTAGCTAGGTACTATAATGGGGTTCCAAGTGGTGTACTATGTTTCTAGGTAGTTGCAATATGATTCCCAATTGGTCGCAAGGTTGTAGCTAATCGGTTGCCAGCGAAACTCAGCCAGTTGTTAGAGTGAGGTTAGGTGGCAGTTATGGGATCCAGGTGGTTGCAATGGTGGTTCTAGTAGGTTTCAATATGATCACAGTTGCAAGGTTGTAGCTAGTCAGTTGCTAAGGAAACACATCTGATTGCTAGGGCATTGCTAGATGGCTGTTATGGGGTTCCAGGTGGTTGTATGGTGGTTCTAGGAGGTTTCAATATGATCCCAGTTTGTTGCAAGGTTATAGCTAACGGAAACATAGCTGGGTGCTAGGGTGTTGCTAGGTGGCTGTTAAGGGTTCCCAGGTCACTGCTAGGGTGTGGCTAGGAGGTTTTATTATGATCCTTGTTGGCTGCAAGGTTGTACCTAGTCAGTTGCTGAGGAAACTCGTATGGGGTCCCACATGGTATGCTATGATGTTTTTGTGAGGTTTCAATATGAGCCCAGGTGGTTGCAAGGTTGTAGATAGTCGATTGCTAAGGAAAATCAGCTGGTTGCTAACGTGTTGCTAGATGTTTTCTTTATTTATTTTTTTGGTTCCCAGGTGGTGTGCTATGATGTTTCTTGGAGGTTTCAATATAATTCCAGTTGGTTGCAAGGTTATAGCTAGTTGGTTGCTAAAGAAACTCTACTGGTTGCTTGGGTGTTGCTAGGTTTTGTTATGGGGTCCCAGGTGGTGAGTTTTGATGTTTTTATTAGGATTCAATATGATCCAAGTTGGTTGCAAGGTTGTAGATAGTCGGATGCTAAGGAAACTCAGCTGGTTGCCATGGTGTGGCTAGGTGCCTGTTATGGGGCTCCAGATCATTCCTATTGTGTGAGCACAGTTCTACTCCTCAGTAACATGTTTGAGTTTTTGAGTAAGTGCACATGTGTTGTAGTTGCTGTCTGAAGTAGAGTTGGTTTAGTGTGACTAGTCTTTCACTAATTGAACTATTAGACACTTATCAGCTCTCACAGTACTCCAGTTGTCTGTGTGTGGATGCACTCAGTTGTAAGCAAAATGCCAAGGTATAGGTATGATCAGGATCCTTTGAAGCAATAGATGTTCAGTGAAATATTAATGGGAACACTACGAGTTAACTGACAAGTGTGTGTGTGTGTTGGAGAGTTGGAGAGAACAAAAAGTTACTAATGTAACTCCTGGGGCAGAAGCAGCAGCTCCTGATATTATGGCTCCTTCATTCCCTGCTCTTCTCCAGGCCCAACCTCAGGCTCACCGTCCGGTTCCAGGCTCGCGGGTATTTAAGCCTGACGGTATGTCACTTGGCGTGCATCATAGCTAGGACTGCCCTCTTCCTGATTTCATCTGCACCTGGGTAGCTGGTGTGTGAGTTTGGTTGTTTGTCGCTGCTCAGTTAAATGGAGAAGTGGGCATGCAGATTAAAACAAAAGTTTCCTTCTTTTTCAGTGCGATGAATGGTCATTTGATGTTGCACTGGGTCGCCGGCTGTCCATTTGCATGTCAGGTATGTGTTTGTCTTCGTTGTATGCCGCTCATTTAGTTGTCTCTAGATGTAATTTGTTTTTATTCATTTCCTAGCTGTGAGATTTTTCTGGGGATGTGTCTA